GTTTCAGGATGATTCAAGCACATTGCATTTATTATGTACTTTATTTCCATTATTAATATATAATGAAATAATTATACAACTCACCACAGCTTGGGAACCCCTGGTTTAGATGGTGTAGCTGGGTCCATACATCAAGTCCCTAGTGCTATAAATGCCAACAAAGCACGTCCCATGCCCTGTGTTCAGACAGTATAAAGTGGAACAAGACACAGCTCCAATTTCAAGGAGAACAGATTGTACTTGCTTCTTATCTTTGGATTTTAAGCTCTGATTTGGAAGCCAAGGGATATTAAGAAAATAGAGCAAAAAAAAGTAGATATCTTTATTAAGATATAATAAATGTCCATACAGTTAAAGAGCAGGAGGTTCTTAATCTGAAAGTGGCATAAAAGTTGTGGGATCACAATGGTACAAGCCTGTCTTCAGTGGAACTGCAACAACCCACCCAAAGACCACTTCCAAGAATGTTCTGAAATTGCACGCTCTTATAAACAGTGATAAGTGAAAGGTATCTTTCAAAAATATCCAACTCCTTGACTTGCATAAAGAAAAAGTAGCTTTAGTAACAGTTTTCTAAAAATGGAAATGAAAGGACAATTTTGAGAGATGAAGTTGTGTTTCAGCCTTGCCCTTCCAAGATGAAGGGGGTTTAAGGAAATCGGAGTGATGGATGCCGAGATCATCTCAAACTTCACTCTGGGCGTGGGTTCCGGGCTCCTCCCACGGCTGGCCTTTCTTCAGTGCTCTTATTTGCCTCCAGTTGTGGATCATGAGCTTGGAACTTGGCTGCATCCGAGAATGCTTCCCAAAGTAAAGGGAGCACCAAGTCTTTGTTGTCACAAGACCGTCGTGACGCACAAAGTGAGCACAACGCAAATGACCTTCTCCTAGGGATGATCCACCATCTCTAAGGAGGTAAGTGACTGGAAAGGTCACAGCCCTAACTGAGCAGTACTGTTCTCCCCACAGAGGGGACCGTTCTGAACAAAGGGCAGTGAGAACGCAAGGCACAGCTGAGTGTTAATGGCACTTAGTGTACAAGGCTCCCCGGCCACGGTCATTCATAAGATTTTCATTGCTGCTGCCCTTCAGAAAGCCTCAGCTCAAGAGGTCCTTTCTAGAAAAGTAGCTTCACCCATGCCAGAAGGAGAAGGCGAGAGGATGACGTGTAGCTCTTTAAACAAACTGGCGTCTGCTCCAGTGTCTGCTGGTAATAATTATTTTCTGCCAACCAGAGAAAGATAAAATTCCTATTGAACTGAAATAGCATTACTGATACTTTATGCTTAGTATAGACAGCATTTGGCATTGTGACAAAAAGCCTTTCTCTAAGAGAGGCATTTGATTCCTGACTCAGCCAACGGGGAGTGCAGTTCATCCATAGTCACCTTGCACAAATGCCTTGGGACAAAAGACCAGGAAAGGAGACGTTTCTCTTTCAGCTGTTACTTTTAAGCAGGATTATTAGTAACACCATTATCATTTACTATAAAGCCGAACAACAAGGACTTCTAAGCCCTATTCTTTTTCCTCTACTTCCGTCACCTACTGCTTCTGACAGTCTGCTTTCTCACAGGTAACCTGAGGCAGGAAAAGAAAAACAAATCCCACTTGTCCTTTCGGAAAATAGCAGTTTTGATAAATGCTGGATGATGTGAGGTTAAATATGATTGAAGCAAAGCTTGGACAGCATCAGTGGGTGCCACTGTCTACCCACTCACCGTGTTCATCTTTCGGCCAAGGAGCTGTGAAAGTTTCATGTGATGCCCCATATCAATGCCATGAAGATGCATCTGGTGTTAGATCCATTAGGTATATGGCGACACAAAAGAAGCATGATCATGATAAAGGAAAGACAGTCTTGATAATGAAACCAGTGCATCTGCCCTTCCATGGATGCTCTATGTCACAAAAGGAGTCAGCTTTACCTCGCTCTCTTCCCTTCCCAGGTGGAAAGGAGACCTGTCTGGAAGCTGCCCACCCAAGCACACTCAGGCATCATCACTCATCCGCCTCCCCTACTTCTGTCTGGAGTCCAGTGTTCATACCAACAGCAGTGATCTTTAGACTTCACAGAAATCCAAATCACATGGCCCCCTGGGTTTGACTGACAAAGTCATCGGACGGGCACTGGCTGGTTCTTAGAGAGGCAGTCACTATTTCACACATAGATCCCCTTGGCCTTTTGTTTGCTATCGTGTGGGGTTTTTTATGCACTTTATTTTTAGACCATCTATATGACATTTTTTTCCTTAAAAACAATTCTTCTACACCAAATAAATCATGGACAAAATAAATGAAGAGCTCAAGATGACATCAGTCCTATTTGTCTTAAGTCCACATTGTGTGGGTTACAAGCAGCAGCCAGTTATGATGACAGGTGATAGATCCAAAGTAATTGCCAAATTTGTCAACATTTTCCCATTTCTAAACATTCCTAAAGAAAATCACATATGGGTCACACCATCCTCATGGTAGTCAGCACAGCAACCACACAATGCGGACTCACGTTTTCACCAATACAGAACTGGTAGTTTTTGAAATTAGCAAGGATGTGTTCAATTTGTTCTGTGGCCCTTGCCATAAAAGGTTTTACTCTTTCTGGTTTCTGTTCTTCAAGTTTGCCTTTGATTGACCTCATGTAATCTTTGACGTACTTCTTGTAGGCTTCTTTTGTGAAGCCAGTTTCTTGCAAGGAAGTGATGGTTCATGATAGTATCAACACCGGTGATCACTGTGCTTTCAGCATCTTTGTGCTCAGGGCCTTCAGCCGAGGCATTTCCACTAATAAGCTGGTCATCAGTGTTACCCTCTGTCCTGCTGTCTTCACCTCCCCTATAGCCTGTCCATGATCCTCCAGATCTTGTAAATGTCAGAGAACATCTCATCGTGGCTGATGAGGTCCTGGTAGATAATCACGACCGCGGCCAGGAATTAGAGCCAGGATGGTACAGTTGGAGTGAGCAGCACTGGGTGAGTGGGCAGGGGGCGGGCAGAAAAGCTTGTTTGCTATCATGAAATAAAACTAGCAGTTACACTACAGAGTCCTTACTGAACTAAAGAGGATCTTACCAGCCTCAGATTACAAGGCAGGAGCTACCTGACGTATCAATGCATCCCCACCCCAACCCTGCTCGGTTCCAAGCACATACTGGTATTCAAAACAATCACTGTTGACAATTATGATATATATTCTCAGTGAGCAAGAAAACCTTCCTAGCTGGCAGGAGCCAGCTGCTAAGTCACCTGGCCAGACTGGGTAGACCAGAGTGGGCCAGCAGTGTGCTCTGGTGGAAAGAAGGTAGATGTGTGTGTGTGGGGTGTGTATGTGTTTGTACGTGTATATAGGTGTATCTACGCAGAATGCGTGTGTGTATGTGTATATAGGTATACCTGTGCGGCGTATGTGTGTGTTTGTATGTGTGTGTATGTGTATGTAGGTGTATCTTTGTGCAGGGTGTGTGTGTGTATGTGTATGTAGGTATATCTATGTGCGGGCTCTGTGTGTATGTATATGTAGGTGTATCTGTATGTGGAGTGTGTGTGTATGTGTATGTAGGTGTATCTGTGTGTGTGTGTGTGTGTGTATGTGTATGTAGGTGTATCTATGTGTGTGGGGGGTGTGTGTGTATGTATAAGTAGGTGTATCTGTATGTGTGTGTATGTGTATGCAGGTATATCTGTGCAGGGTGTGTGTGTGTATGTATGTATATGTAGGATGTATCTGTGTGTGGGCTGTGTGTGCGTGTGTATGTAGGTGTATCTGTGCATAGTGTGTGTGTGTATGTGTATGTAGGTATACCTGTGCGGCGTGTGTGTGTATGTGTATATAGGTGTATGTGTATGTGGGGTGTGTGTGTATGTGTTATGTGTATGTAGGTGTATCTGTCTGTGGGGTGTGTGTGTATGTGTATGTAAGTGTATCTGTATGTGGGGTGTGTGTGTATGTGTATGTAGGTATACCTGTGCGGCGTGTGTGTGTGTGTGCACATGTGTGTACGTGTATGTAGGTGTATCTTTGCGTGGGGTGTGTGTGTGTATGTGTACGTGTATGTAGGTGTATCTTTGTGTGGGGTGTGTGTGTGTATGTGTATGCAGGTGCAATTCAAACTGAATTACACCACCAGCTCTCCTGGGTCTCCAGCTTGCAGATTGTGGGATTTCTCAGGCTCCATAATTGCATGAGGCAATTCCTTATAATAAATCTCTTTCTACACATATGTATTAAATTAGCTCTGTTTCTCTAGAGAACCCTGACTAATACACAAGCGCAAATCAAGTACCACCTTTGCTGGAAAAGGCAGTCTGCCATAGGCACCAAGCACCTTTGCACGTCCTGAGTATGTGCAACTGCAAGGTCTAACCATCTGCTGACCCCGAGCCACTCTGGGGCTGGTCACGCACGTTGAGGTGGCCACAGCATGACCACTGTGCAAATGCACAGAGGATGGTCTTGTTTGCTGCTTGCTACACAAAGTGTTGAACCCTGGGCCCTGGGCCCCTCAGCTGCACGACCCACCATCTGAGCCCATCGTATCACCCCACGGGACTGGAGGGCAGGCAACCTGTGCCACCAGGCTGATGTTCCATGGGGTGCTGTGCCATGAGTGACAAATTCCTTTGCTATGGCCCACTGAGTCTCATGTCTAATTTCAGTTCCTATGCAGCTGTGCCAGGCCAGCTGGCTCCCTTGCTTAGTCCTCTTATTGGGTGTCTGCTATTCTCTATGAGGTTGGGGTTGTTTCCTGACAATCTTCTTCTGAAAAGAATCCCCTGAAATTTCGAAAAGGCTATGAATTGTCAACTGTTACTCTCTGACCTCATACTATGAGTGTCTGGGTAGTTCACATTGTCTCCCCAGAAGAGCCTAAATTCCCTGAAGGCAAAAATGAGGTGATAACAGAGGATGAGCTCTACATCTATTTACTAAACAAATAAATGAATGGATGAATGAGTGAGGAAATCCTCAAAAGACTGCTCAGAATTTTTAATCATTCAGTCACCTCTAATTTTTACTATATTATTTATATCCCACTGAAAGGTGCCTTCCCTAACTCAATCACAGCACGTCTTTTTATGTCAAAATGAAAGCGTCCAAAACGGAATTAAATCAGCAAGTCAAAAGGAGATGATTAATTGTGCCCTGTCAGGGTTCAGACTTACGGAAGTCCCCATACTGTGCCACATGTGAGAGATCCGGTAGCCCACCAGCTCCCCATCCTGGCGCTTAATTGGAGGCTGCAACCATCTGACGTCCACATCATTGCTAGATTCATTCAGAAACACAGTGACGTTTAAAGGTGCTGCTGATGGCGCTATAAAAGAAAAAGGAGAGAAGGATGAAGAACCACAGAGAAAAGCACATACAGATTCATTCTTGTCTTGGTTTTTGAGTGTGTAGTTTTCAAATGCTCTAAGAAAAGTACTCAAGTGAGACAGAGACCAATAGCAGATATTCACCCTCTTTTCAATTAAGGACCACTGAGATATCACATGAGTTTTAACAAGTAAGCCCTATCGAAGCCTTGAGATCCATCTATGAAGTTGAAAATGTCATGAGCACGCAGGGTAAAGGAACAGAGGAGAGGAAGGCAGGGAAGCAGGAGGATGGTTCTCACGGACCCCTGGGGAAGCAAAGCAGACACAACTCAGGGTCCTCCAACAGAAAGCTGTGGGGTAGAAAGACAACACATCAGGCTGGAGATCAGCGCTGTGGCATTTGAGATGTGCAAGACAGGGAACACTGCTGAGCTCAAAATGAAGCCATCACTTCAAAGGGCAGAGGCAGGTTACTGATGGTCTGAATAGAGCTAACCAGTTGATACATTAAAAATGTATATGTGTGTATGTGTACATGCATAAAACAATTTGGGAAACAAGTCAAAATCATTACCATAGTCTTTTTTAGCACAGAGGAACTTGACTATATCCATTAAAACTGAAAACAATATGCTCTTGGACCAAGTATTTTATTTCTAGGAATTTAATCTGTAGGTAG